TAAGAAAGAATAACAATGCTCAAAAAGCATAAACCAGTGAAATAAAAGTAAATGCTAAACTTAAAAATTAATCTGATTTTGAATGTAAATACCTTTTTCTATTTGGACAAAAATTCTCATTCATTTATTATTTTGTTACTTTTGAGAGATAAAAATATGAGGTGTCAACGAAGTTAAGAATAATAGAATTAGTCTTTCACTTGACAAACCAATAGTTGAATCTCTACTGAAAGAGGTATTTGACAATGCTCTAATAATACTATTTTTTTTAATAAAATAAACATATAAGACATAAAAGATAAGATTATATACCAAAATTAAAAGATAAAATTCACGTACAATTTCTTAAATATTTTTAATGTTATTATTTGATAAAAATTAAAATTTCACCAAATATAAGAATTAAAAGTTTATATTAAAACTCTACGTTTAGATTGTAATAAAAATAATCAACGAACTATATTTAAATTGTCTCAAAGTATTTGTATATGTAACAAAAAAAATCTTTATAAAAAAATCACATTTTTCTTTCTTTTTTCATTTTTCTCTTCTGTCAAACTAATATAGAAAAACATATTTTTTCTTTTATTTCTCTTCTACTTCTTTTACTATTAATACCCTAAAACTTTATCTATTATAGCTTTTTTTTCCCCTTACTTGCTACGTAACATTTATTTATTCAAACAAAATATACTAATTGATATAAAAATAATATATAAATGCGATAAATAATAGAAAAAATTGCGAGGATTTAAAAATAGTAAGAAGAAAAAATGATAATGATACTAGTTCTCTCCTTATGATTCGCGTGCCATCTTTATCATATGTTAAGTTCTGAAACCAACGTACACACACAATTCCTCTAACACATATGATCATCATTATAAACAACATCAACATGCCATGTCCATTCCTCCTCCCACTTCTCTTCTCCCCTCACTCCCTTTTTACTATCTCCAATCACTTTCACTTTACTATTTCTTTTATACGATATTAGTCATTTTGATTAGCTCTATCTCCTATTGTTTTCTAGAGTTTTGATTTGGACAAGATTTTGGAGTTTGGGCACATTCTTTTCTTTTGCTGATTACAATTATGATCACCTTCTATTGTTGTGACATGCGGAGGGGGATAGTCAATAGTGTGTGTTTTCTTTTGCATTCTCTCTGAATGCTTCTTTTGCACTGTCATTTTAATCAAGAAAGCATATAGGACTCATTCCCATTAGCAAGTCTTTCAAGGAATTTCTTTAAGAATTCATATTAGAAAAGTTTAAATTGAAATAAAGATCCTAAGAACTCTGAAATTTTTTAAAGTGTCATAGAATCCAATTCACCCCTCCTCTTGGATTGAGCCATTCTTTTCTAACACATTAGACACTTTCTCCATCAAAATATGGTTCATAATGCAATGATACATGTTCACAAACAATACCCATAGACTTCATAATAAATCACATAAGACACCTCCCCTTTTAGGTTAGATCCTCATTTTCTTAAAAAATTTTTTTATTGTCATGGTACACAAACCTCATCTTCATCTTAACATTATCATTCATCAATGTCTTAATATGAATTAGGAATGATAAATGAATTCATTTATCCACCATTCATTTGATTCAATAAGTGAATTCATCCAATCCATCCATTATGATAAAAAATAAATAATTGATTGGATTCAATCTATTCATTTAATTTTATGGACAGTTAGTAATTTACCCAATACTTTTCAAAATTCATTGGAATAAAATATAAGATATTTATTATATTAAAATTTTAAAAGGCTATTTTGACATATAAAAAATCCTATGAATTTTAAAAGACTATATAAAAATGTAATGACTTTTAAAGAAAAGAAACAAATAAAATATCTTAAAAATATTTTTTAAAACATTACTTTTATGGATGAGTTTAATATCCATTCATGAAAAAGAATTTGACGGATAAATTTTATTTACTTTAAATGGATTGGATTTATATGTGAATTTTAATGGATCTAATTGGATTAATAGATTATTTTATTTGTTCCATTATGATTTGCCTAAAAAGATACCCGATCATTTTTCACCCCTAATATGAATCAATCATAGTCAACCAATACAAAATAATAGATGAAATTATACTAAATCCAACCCATCAAAACTAGGAACTAGTGTTTAACGCCCAAATTCAAATAAGGTTATGATTGACGAAGGGTTCTAATGAACAAGGAGTTAAGTGAAGTGGAGTATAGTAGTTGAGACATCAAATATGAGAGATGTTACATTATTCTCTCACTATCATTATTAAACAAATAAATATGTCATTTACATTAATCAACTATATTATCAATTAATTTAATCAAACACTTATGATTCAATCAATTAGTTTATATTATCAATTAATTTAATCAAACACTTATGATTCAATCAATTAGCTTTTGTAAACTTCTAATTTTTCTACTCTTAACTTATAACTCATAAGCTTTTAGCTAACTTATAAACTTCTAACAAACTTATAAGGTAGTTTTACTAAATACATCAACTATAATTGTGCTACTTATGGGAAGAGATGGATTAAAATTTTACTTTATTACAAAACACATTTTAATTTGGCATGTATATATAGTTAATTAACCAATAATTTTAGGCTAAATTATATTTTTATTCCCTTTCTTTATTTTTAGGATTCAATTTAATCCTATTATTTTTAAAAGATTCAATTTGGCTTTTTAATTTTCAAAAATGTTCAATATTGTCCTTCCATCCAAATTGACACTAATGACATTATTAGATGAAAGGACAACAATGAATAATTTTTAAAAATAAAAGGACCAAATTGAATATTTTAAAAATAGTGGGATCAAATTGAACATTTAAAAAAATAATAAGACCAAATTGAGAATTTTAAAAATATTATGAACAAATTAAAAAAATCATTTAATATTATTTTTTCTAGATAAATTTGAATTTCTTTTACTCACCTTAACAAGATCATGAATGACAACAATGAGTACTTGGAATTAAAAAAAAAAAAGACCACAAAATGAAGGGGTTATCTAATAAAAAAGATTATTAAATGGGTATAATAAAATCCAAAATTATCTAAATAAAAAAATGTTAGATAAGTTTTTATTCTATTTAGATACTATATTTATAGAATATTCAATTTGCTCTCACTATTTATAAATGATTCGATTTGATTATCTAATTATCAAATAATGTTCAATGTTGTCATTTCGTTCAATATTATTAATATCATTAATGTCAATTTGGATGGAAAGATAACATTAAATATATTTTAAAAGATTAGAAGATCAAATTAAACTATTTAAAAATAGTGAGAATAAATTAAATCTTAAAAATAAATAGAAGGGCTAAAAGTATAATTTATTCATAATTTTAAGTTTAAATTATGAGTAAGTAGTTGCAAAAAAATTATATAAAAAATTTGGTTTATAATGGTTTAACCTAATATGAATAGATTCGTTTCTTATAGAAAATATATGCAATTTTAAAATATAAAAAATAATTTGACTTATTGATTTAATAAAAAAAATGGTTGAATTAATTAAACTAATATTTTAGTATGTACAATATGTTAAATGTTTATTATGTAATTAAAATTTATAATAAATTATATGTATAGATAAATATTATGTTTGAATATATAAATCATATTTAAAATTACATAAATAGATATTTTTAAACATATAAATTATATTTTAGATTTATGATAAATAATTCATATTATGGTATAATATTATTTTTATTTATTGATATTTTATTGTTTAAAAAATATCTAAAAATTCTTTCATCAAAGAAAAGACCCCTGACAATATTCTAAATAGAGATTCATTTTTAATATATAGGAGTTGATAGATTATTTAAGAAATATATGGGTCAACAAATTATAAACCAGTATTTTTACCCATGACTTGTCTAATTTTTAAAAGAAGATATGTTGGTTTAAGCTTGTAGAAAACTTCTGTTCTTGGTTGATTTCCAGAAATCATGAAGAACAAAATAATCGATTATCCTTTAAAATAATCGATTATCTGGTTCTAAAAATGTTATAAATAGTTTTCACACTTTGAAACTTCAGAACAGAGAATGAGTTAACAATCAAAAAGAGAAAAACATTATTGTGAAGTCTTTGTGACCTTCTTGAAGTGTTTTCTTTGTGAAACCAAGAAGTAAAACGTTTTTTTGAAATGCTTTGAAAAAGATCATCATCATCATCACATTCTTACAAATTACCTCACAGTTGTAATAATGCCTAAATTACAGCTAACATAATATTTGATTGCATAATATTTGCTAATAGAATATTTGACATATCTTAACACCCCCACTCAAGTTGGTGCATGGATATCACACATTCCCAACTTGAATAGAGACTCATTAAACACTCTACTTGACACTCCTTTGGTGAGAACATCAGCCAGCTGCAATTCTGATCTTACAAAGGGAAAGATGATGGGCTCCAATTTAACAATATTGATTGGGAATGGAATTTGTGAGGTTTATCAAAATAAAATAAAAATTTCAAATTTATAAACCAAAGATATTGCGATCCCACCTTCCATTGCCCTTGTTCTTCAAATTCAAGCATTCCGAAGGGATTAAATATAATTTATGTATAAATAAAAAACTAAATTTTTGAAAAAAATAATATAAAACTTATGCGTTAACAAAATATTGAAAATCACTATCCTATTTTTTCTTGCTATTTTATTTCTTAGAAGTGTTTTGTTTATAAAAAAAGTTTATTGCTATGTGTGAAAGAATTATAAAACTTTATTTCACAATTCACAATTATTTTATGCAAATCAAAAACCAAAAGTTATAGTGATTATATCACTCTTTAAAAAAGTTATATGCATTTATTTTCTAATATCAGTTGTTCAAATAAAATCTAATGATAATCTACATTCATTGTCCACATTTTTCAGTAACAAAAATGTTCTCACCTGAATGAATCTGTGTATATGCGAAGCTAAGGAGAACTAGTAAAGAAGAATAGCCCAAATGAGTGGCAATTTTAGCATAAACAACACAACATTCTCCCTTCTATTGAGATGCAACACAGTACGCAGGAAAATTAGCATGAAAGATGCAATGCAACTCATACAAGACTGCACATTTACATTAATACAAATCAAATTCCTCTAGTTGCATTAACGGAGGTAGTTGGATTACAAGATCCAAACTACAATGTGTGTTTGGTTTGATGTTGTTACTACTTTCAAGACACCTTAATAGATAGGCTTGTGTCGGTTCAAATTGACGTTTGAAATGCTCAAACTTCAAAACAAATATACCTAATAAAGAACAAATTTCTGAGTGATGTCTTTAATCTTATCTTCCATTAGGCTCAGCAATCTGTGGCATTCTGCATCCTACTTGCTCCATACATTTCACTACCCTCATGTGCTTTGCATTCCATTGCTCAGCCAACTTCTGCTCCTTGTTTTCTGCATCTCTCCTCATCCCTGCTAACTGTTCTCTGCATTCTGATTCAATTCTATCCAAAACAGCATTCTGTTCCACCCAAAGAGCCTTAATCTTTGCCTCAATTTCATCCATCTTTTCCTTCCTTCGGCTTGCCTTCTCTGCCTCCAACTGCAGCTCCACCCTTCTCAACCGCCAAGCCGCCTCCTTCCTGTGCACCACCCAAGCACGATACCCTTCTTCCAACTCCTTACAGCACTCTATCAACTCTGAGACCATCATGTTATCACCGAAGGCTGAAACAGATCCACCATGAGGTGTTGCTGCATTCCCTAGTCGTCTTTCGGGTTGTAGCCACGCTGTTGAGGAGGAGAGACTTAGTGTCACAGAAGGGGAAGGTGGCCTAATTGCTGATGAGGGATTGGTGCTGCTAGAATTTGAAAGCCAAGGAGGAAACAATGCCGATGATGCAGATGCAGATGCAGATGCAGGTCCATTAGATGCAGCAACCATAAGGTATGGTGATTGTGAAGGGTGTTGTTCTTTCACTAGTTTCTTAGCAAAAGTCTCTAGTATATGATCATATTTGGTGTCATCAACTGGGCCAATTGCTTTGTGAATCTCTTGTTTCTCCCTTTGTTGTTTCTCTTTGAACACCTCCCACCACTTGCCTAACCTCTTGGCAGTTCTACCAGGAACTTCTGCAGCGATTTTCTTCCACTTGTTGCCATGTTTCGCTTGAAGCCGGATCACAAGACGCTGCTCTTCTTCGGTTAGACAGCCTTTCTTGATGCCAGGCTTGAGGTAGTTCTTCCACCTTTCCAAGCATGACTTTGCATCCCTGTTAAGAGGCGTGTTCATGCGCTGAGATACAAGATTCCATTCTCTAGGACCATACTGTCTCACATAAGCACATAACAATGCATCCTCTTCAGACTTCCAACGTTGCCTTTCCTTCATTTCCATGTGCAAATCCCACAGCCCATTTCTTGAAACTTGAACTCTTCATCATGTATCTGCATAATTCATTGACAATAGTAAAAACACAATGCAGAATTGCTATGAAAGATCCCCCTTGTCTTCATAATAATAGTACACACCATTCTCAACATCAAGCAACATCATCTTCATAAATGTATATACATCTACTCAAGACAAGCCTAGTCCAAAAACCGGTATTTGCACTTATTATAAAATTGAACATTTAACCCTGAAGATTATCAACATATAGTATCCATAAAAATATATGCAAAATCTATAAAGTACCAACCAAAGAAACATATAGAAAGACACATCATCATATTACACTCACTTTAAGAAATGTCTATTTTAATTGCATTAGCTATGAAACCCACCTAGACACGTGAAGATTGAGTATAATAAGTTAAAGACAGTTTAAACCTTAAAGAGCTATTTTGTCAAGATCTTCCAAAATAAAAAATAAAAAAAATTGGCACACTATTGAATTAAATGGCTACAATAAGCCTTTCTAAAAGTGAATATATATATTTCCAGGTGCCTTTCTATACAGTTTTCTGAATTATTATTATATAAAGGCAGTTGCCAAAAACAATCACATCACTCAATAAAAAAGAAATTATCTTCGTTACTTTTTATTTCATATTTTGACGAGACCAAAATATACTACTCAAGAAATTCAACTCAATTGAGTTATAGGAACTTCAGGATATTATTGGCATTTGGAATGCAGAATTGAAACAGAATATTCAAAAGAAAGAAAAAAAATAAAGTTCTTGTACCAATATATTATCAAGGCTTAATAACCATATAAATAAGAAGCAATGCACCAGTGGTTAAAAGACTCCTAAGAAATTAGTTAAGTGATTATTGATTAATTTCATTACATAACTTGAAAGCAAAGCAAAAAACGCATAAACCCAGAGTCTACAGACCAAAACATTCAGCACCCTCCACAAAGAAAATAGCACGTGAACAGATACAATAAGAGGTAGAATAAAATAAAAAGGAGAAGAAAAAACAACAACTTAAATCAATAAACATGACCAAAGACAACTTATGCCGAAACAAAAATGTCCAATGCAGGAAAAAAAAAACATTAGACTTTGCAGGACTTTCTTCACTACAAAATTTACATGATCCAAAGCCCCTAAATAACATAAATAAATAAATAAACACAAAGAACACAACAACCACATAACAAAGCTCTAGACTTTGATTGATGGAGATCCCATGACTAACAACATGATTAAAACAGAACTCTCATTTCATCATGAGATGACTTTTAACTAAAATCCGAATATTCTGAGACCTCACCACAAAAAGAAAGATTTTTTTACAAAACCCACCATCCTAAAACCTTGAACACAGAATAAAAACTCATCCTTTGACGGTAGTTGAGAGAAACAAAAAAAAAAAAAAAAAAGTAGTGAAAAGGGAAGAAGAAGATGATGTGGGTGGAAAGGGTTGAAGTTGCCCCTAAATACCTAGCAGCGTGCTTGTTGAGGGAGGCATGTTGTGAGGGTCCATGTGGAAGAGCACAATTTTGGGGCATTAAAAGATCCAGAAATGGGAAAGGGAGAAGCACCACCCTTAGCATTATCGTAGAGAGAGAGGGAGAAAATATACCCTGGGATTGTAGAGTAAAGACATGGTACTGTGAGAGAGAGAGAAAGAGGGAATTAGACAAGACAGAGGAAGAGACCCCACAGAGTCACAAGAGAGAAAAAAGTGGAAAAAGCATTAATGTAGCAGCGTCGTACGTTGGTTTCAGCGCTTCAAATGCCACAGACTCTCTAAGTTTACCTCTTTCTAAATTATTCACTGCACTTGCCGCTCCCACAACATATATCCGCTTAAATATTTTTTTTATTTTTATTTAAATAATTAAAAAAATCTAAATTGTACCACCTGCCCAAGGCTTGAATTAATTTATTTTGAAACAGCTTGGAGCTTTCGTTGACGGGAGATATCTTCCAGGTGACCTCGTCAGCTCAGTCATCCTGCACCAACTGCAAGGACTTAGTTTTTTTACTCTTTTTTCATGAAAAGAAGAGGAGAAACAGAAAAGACACATTGCAATTTTATTACAGTCTCAGATTTCAGAGAATCCATATCAAGCTAGAGGCTTTCAAATTATTAGAGCTGGCTGGGAAACCAATTTTTCATAATCGTTTAAAATTTGAAATACGAAAACTCAGAGGAAACACAAATATATTCAAGCAATGTGGTCGTCTTCTAATCCTCAACATCTTGAAGAGAACCTATTTCCTGCCTAGCATCTCCTATATTTGCACTTAATAATTCCAGAATGGTTGTGATATGTTCATTTTGTGGATGAGCCTGATCCCCAGCAACAAATGCATTCAATTGATCATTAACATTAATCCAAGACCAGCCTGGCTCCTTTATTAATCCTTTTGACTTCATTAACTTCCTTATATGTGCAGCTTCCTTCCATCTTCCCTTGGCAGCATACATGTTAGCCAGAGTAATATGAGTTCCAGCAGAATATGGATCCAACTGAAGTAACTGTTCTGCTGTCCATCTTCCACGATCAACATCCCCATGAACTCTACATGCTCTGAGTAAGGTAGACCACACAATGTCATCACTATGGAATGGCATACTTCGTATCATGTGCTCAGCTTCACTCAATTGCCCTGCTCTGCATAGAAGATCAATGATGCAACCATAGTGTTCTTTTGAAGGATTGATTTGGTACTCATTAGTCATTAACATAAAATAGTAAAAACCAAGATCAACCAATCCAGCATGGCTACATGCTGTCAAAACCCCAATGAATGTCACATAGTCTGGCATTAAACCAACACTAGATATCTTATCAAACAAATTAATGGCTTCTTGGCTATAACCATGTTCAGCATACCCATTAATCATGGCTGTCCATGATATAATATCATTGAATTTCATTCCATTAAAGATTTTTGAAGCTTCTTGTACACTTCCACATTTTGAGTACATATTAATAAGAGCACTATGAACCATTGCTTCATGATCTATGCCAATGCACAGTACATGAGCATGCACCTGTTTCCCTTGCTCTAGAAGTGCCATGCTTCCACAAACGCTCAACACACTAGCAAGAGCAAATTCATTTGGTTTTGGCCCTTCCCTTCTCATCCATAATAGGTAGTCGAATGCTTCTTTTGCATAACCTCCTTGAGAATAAACAGCGATTATAGTGCTCCAAGATATAATATCTTTTCTAGTTATACCATGAAACACAATTGAAGCTGATGTTAACAGCCCACATTTTGAATAAAGGGTAATTATTGAATTTGCCACTGACAAAGCATCTACCAAACCTAGACGCAATACATGGCCATGTATCTGTTCCCCCCATTTAGCAATAGCGAGATTTGCACAAGCAGAAATTACAGCTGCAAAAGTGTATTTATTAGGACTGACATCTGATTTTCTCATTTTTTTAAAAACTTCCATTGCACGTTCTTCTTCACCCATCTGTACATAAGTCGTAATAAGGGTTGTCCATGAGACTACATCTGGCATCTTCATTTTCTCAAACAATCGCATGACATAGTCTGGTTTCCGACATTTATTATACATGGTAGCCAGGGTATTAATCACAAATGAGCTCTCATCAAATCCTTGTTTTATTGTTTGTGTGTGTATAGCTTTCCCATGGTGTAACAAACTTGAATCAGCAGATGCCTTTAAAGCAATTGCAAATGTATGTGAATCATAGCCAACTTTTGATCTCCACATTTCATAAAAGTACAACAAACCCTCCATATTGTGACCAGCATGTACTAGCCCAGCAATAATGGCAGTCCATGATACTACATTTCTTCTTGTCATTTTTGCGAAGACTCTGCAACCTTGTTCTATTTTGCCTAATTTCATGTACATGTCAATTAGGGCACTGCTGACAAACACCGAGTTTACTAAACCAGATTTCACTGAAAATCCATGTAATAATTCTCCAAAAAAAATGTTGACACCAAGTGCACAAGCCTTGAGTGCAACACTAATCATGAACTGGTCCCTTTGAAGTCCTGGCTGGACCCACATATTTGAGAACAAGATCAATGCCTCATGCGAATCTGCGGCATTGACATAACCAGCTATTAATGTAGTCCATGAAATCTCATCTCTGTGAGCCATTTTATCAAACATATTCCTAGCTTTACCAATTTGTCCCTGTTTCAGTAATTGCTTCAGCTCAGAGTTAAGTTCAAGCATATTATGAACAGAATAGGCAGTTGGAGCTAGATGTTCTTGTTTTGCTTGCTGGATCAGTTCTCTGCATTCAGTAGCAATTCCTGTAAATAGACTAGTTAGAAATACAATATAAAACCATTCCTGTTTCTCTGTATAACAACTTGAACTTTTGGGGTAGTTAGTTGGTTCATGACATGATATCAAAGACATAGGCTATGGTTAGATACACATTTGAAATTTGTAAGCCCAATTAGTTGCCAATAAAAAAATTTCTTTTCCGTTGAGTGTAAATTACAAACAAACCTCAGTTGAAACAAAAGCTAAAAGGGTGTTGCTTTAAATTGAAAGTTGATTTAGAAAGTTAAATTCAACTCAACTTAACTTTCTAACTATAATTCAAACACCCACCACATGATCTAGAGTTTGATCCTTATCATACCCATTATTCCAACAAAAACAATTTTTTTTATCATCGAAATTATAATGACGGAACCAAGTTCGAACATAAACCAACAAAAACATTTAAGCACAAGATAAGTCGGCTCTTACGAATTTTAATAATAAAAAGAAGAAGGAAAAAAACATACACACACCTGGAGAGGAATAATTGAGAGGTGGCTCGAGGTTTCTTGAGAATAAGGGAGTGTTTGGATGGATGGAAAATGAGGGGTCAAGTGCAAGGGCAGGTGAAGAAGCATAGCGGTGATGCAGGCAAACACGTCGCGGGAAGGTGTTAAAGAGTTTGTAGGAAAGGTTCATCCTCCCTCTAACTCAAACAATGAAGCTCAGATTTCCGAGTTCCCATGTCTTTGTGTTTCTCTCTAACTATGTCAAACAATGTTCCTCTGCAGCGTCAAGGTTTCTTCCTACAAATTGAATCGCCAGAGCAAAGGGAGAACAAAATAAACACTCAATATTTTTCCATACCATTCTTTTCCTTATAAACACTCAATATTCTCCGAATTAGTAAATAAAAAATAACAATACCAATGTACAAATTAGGAACACAAGAAAAAAATTGTTTTCACATTCATTTTGTACTCCAAGTAAAGTCATAAACCACCCACCCACTACCACTACTCTCTATTTTTCTTTTTTAGTTTTTTATATTTCTTTTAACATCTTCTTACTTTCACCTTTGCATTCACCACAACAACTAGGTATGGCAAACGGGCAGGGTGGATACAAGTTTCATGATATCCGTCCTCGTACTCTTCAAACTTATCTCTGCCTCCGTCTCCGAATTGACGAGTATGTAATTTTCGTCCTATCTCTGTCCCCATCGGGTATTTGAGTATACATGTATCCATCAAAAATTAATTAATTTTTTTATAAAAAAGTATATAATATTTTTAGTTTATCTTTCTAAGTTTCTATTATATTATAATGGTAATTTAGATATTTGTCTATCTCATATTTTAATTAAAAGACTTTAGAGACACTAATTTTTAAATATTAAAATTCTTTAAAACAATAAAATTGAGGACGCGTATTAAACCGAAGATAGGGATGGAGACGGGAACGGGGTGGGTAACTATATATCCATCACCGTCTCTGGTTTCATATTTCGGATTTTACCCGTATCCGTACCCATATCCAGTCAAACCAGGTATTTTCCATCAAAGTCGAGGCAGGTTTGGATATTCTCAATGGGTATGAATTTATTTGTTATCCTTACCAACAATTGACCAAGGTTTTCTCTCGATAACATTTATTATTACACACACTCATAGCTTCTCAATTTTCAATGTCTCTGCATTTTCTTTTTATTGTTCACGATCATGTGTAGGACTAGGGGTGGGCATGAATTGATTTTTTAAAAAAGCCGATCCAAACCGATCCAATCCGTTTTTAAATGGATTAGTTTAGTGGATTCCGATCTGATCCAGTTTACTGATCCAATTTTGAACCGAACCTAATTAATGGATCAGTTTTGAACCGATTTTGATCCAGATTTATGGGTTAATCCATTTCCAAAATGGATCGGATAAAAACCGGTTTAAAACCGGTTTTTTTAACCATATTTTTTTAACTAGTTTTTTAAACCAGATTTTTGAACCAGATTTTTTTAACCAATTTTTTGAACCAGATTTTGTAAAACAATTTTTTTAACCCAATTTTTAAATTTGTTTTTTTAATCATTTTTTACCAATATTTTTAAACCCAGATTTTAAAACTATTTTTTAGAAGTAAAAGGAATAAACTATAACATGAAAAAATAAAAACATCTATGAAAACAACTCATCACCTATTAAGAATTACAATATATATCTTAATTCTTTAAAGAAACTTCATTAAACTGCATTTGACAAAAATTCCTATCTGTAGAGAGATTATGCACAAAAAATTATGAGAAGGGAGAGATTATACTTTTGTTGAGAAAGTGTAAGAGACAAAAATAGTAAGTGCAAAACTTCCGAGCCAAGGCAATATTCTTTGACCCCAAACACATTTTAAGGCTTTTGATGCCCTCTCCCTTTGACAAAATTCCTATTGAGACAAATCCCCTCGGATTTGCTTTTCTCTCTCTCCCATAACTAACTCTCCTTCCTAAATTCTCTTGAGCTTTCTAGATTATGCTTGCAAGGGACTTTTTAGTAACAGACCCGGCCTTAGAAGTTGCTGGGTTGGTTGGATTGTAGTTTGGTTAATTAATAGGATCTAGTTTCCTTCAGCATTTTATGTTTAAGAATTTAGGAAGAGTCAACAATGAAATCTGGAAAACATAAATAATATTCAGATAATTAGAAAAAGCGACAGACATGCAATGAATTGTCCTATCTTCAGGAGCCTCTACCTAATAAGCAAATATCCAATAACTTTTAAATGCTACTTCAAAACTTTCTGCATCAATGAAAAACATGCTTAAGACAATGCTGTGGTAAGGAACCCTTCAAAGGAACACATACCATTTTTTTGTTTGTTTGTCAAAGTTGACAGGTTAAGCATTTTGAATTAAAAGGGGGGCAAGGTGGAGTCTAGTAAGTTCGTTCATGATTGGTAGAGATAGGTCAAGTTAAGGGGCTTAACCAATCAAAATAAAATGGATTGGATTAAATCAAATTCCAATTAATTTTGAGTCTGCAACCTAAACTCTAAATTCAAACTTTAAAGCATAATAAAACCCAATACATGTAAACTGAGAGCCTAGGTACTCAAGATCAATGATTTTGCTTTCAATCTTTAAACTTCTCATATCTGAAGAACTTGCTTCCAGATTCAGGCTTTCAGACTCTCCATAGGTTTCGCATAGAGAGCAATCAATAAGCACTCGCTCTTCTTCTCCTGAATTACCTTAATAAATATGAACGAACTGAGAGTCATCCTGAAGGACATCCACTGATATATCAGTGCTCTTCTTTTAACCACTTTCTCATCATTTTCAGAATTTTTCAAACCAATTTTACCCAAAAATCCAAATCAACTCACTCATTTTTCCTTTAAAATAGAAACAATTTAAAGGTACATTCATGCAGCAGCCAAATACCCTAATTGAAGGCAATTTGTCCAATTAAATTGTTGTCAAATTGTAAAAATCAGAGCAAACCCTCACAACCAAACTACAATAGGAAAAACATAACTCGTATTTCCATACATAAAAGTGGATTTAAACTGATCCAAATATAGAGTTTGCCTCATCTCCTTCCCTTGATCAAAACACAATTTGATTATTTAAAATCCTAAGAACTAAATTAAAGACAAAGCAAAAGGAAAGGTATTTACCAATTCCGCAGCGACAACGCACCGCGCGTAGGAGACTAGGAGCAGCTGCGCACCAGCCACCCTGGATCAAAACACTGCACCGCAATGCGACTTTGTTTGTCTTCAATTTTACTCAAGATTTCTGCATTCACTTTCTTCTTTTCTTTGTTTTGTTCATTTTAATCAGATTTAGAAAATCAAGATTTATGTGTACCAAATAATATTCTTTTTTCTTATTGCGTTATTTTCTCACTTTAATTCTGAATAATATTTTGACGTAATCTTAAGTTGATTGATTATGTGTTACATAAGAAGATCCACGACTGAATGAAGTCAACAAAAAACCAAGGACATTTGAAATTTGAATAAGACTCGCACTCAAGTTCACTTCAAGTTACATAGTACAAATCAATTGAGAGAAAAAAAAAAAAAGTAATTAATATAATTATTTTAATTGATTTTATCATAAATTTAATTTTTATTTTAAATATTATTATATTTAATATTAGTTATAAAAATACTAAGAAAATAGTTAACAATAATTAAGGGTATAAAAGAAATTTAATTTTTAATAACTTTAAAAATTAATTAATATTGTTTATAATTAAAAAAATTAAATTGGTTGGTTATAATCAAAAGTAATATGAAGTATTTGCTTCTTATTAATTTAAGGTCAAAGACAGAATGATTATTTTGTTTGTATTATAATTTTGTGGCATGTTTATACAATTTAGCAAAATCAATTCGATGATTAATTTAAAGAGTTTTGTTTATCACAGTGGACGAATTCATGTTTTTTTTATGAAAAATATTTAAGTTTTATAATATTACATTACAATTAATATATATTTCATCAATGAATGATGAGAAAAATAATTATATAAATAACAAATTTATTTATGTCAATAAATAAAATAGTTTAATAAATAAATTATTTTTCATCTTAAGATAAAATACACATAGCGATACAAAATGTATTAATCTTATTAGTATTGTAGTAAACAAATTACTTTTTAAATTTTAATATAAATTGAATGTCGGTGAAAATAAAAATATTGAAGTAGATGTTATTTCTCTCAACAAAATTTTATCTACACACAAGGCTAAGAAATTAACTTGATTTTAAGATAAACATTTACATATTATATGATCCAATATTTAGTTCTACGGTTAAATAACTTATAATTAATTATATGTTCATTATTAATTTAAAGTTAAATAAACATTTAAATATAGCTTACATTAAATATTTTTTTATAGATCACGTATATCATTTATTAGAAGTAATCTTGTTCAAGCACATTCAAATCATTATAGATGACAAAGTTCTCTTTCTTTATAATGGTATTCAACACAACTATATATCTAAACTCGAACCTGAGATTACTTATTAAAGTGGAACATGTAATATCGTCTACCTTGAAATGCTCAATTAAAATGCATTTTGAAATCATAAAAAAAAAACACAAAGATAACTTATGAAACATAAAATAAACATCTCAAAATAAAGTTTCAATCATGCCTTAAGTAAAAGATGGACTAAAAGACATAAGCATCATCCACATCTACATCATCAGCTATCCCATTATCACTTATAAATGACAATCAACCCAAACACAAATTGAGAGTGAGATACATCTCAAATCACATCAAGATATAAAAAGTTGTGAATAAAAATCATGCCCACAAAAATTATTAAATGCTTATGTATATAAAGATAAATATCAATCACATGCATATGATATAATGCAATGCATCCTAGACCTCATTTCATATGCATGTGGTAACATTTCAAAAACATTTACAAAAGCAAACTACGAGTAAATGCAACACATGTCACTCAAGCATGCTAATGATCGTTTACCGCACTCTTAACATAGTATGCTCTCCTCCTAGTGACTTGTCAGGGTTATCTAGCTACTGTTTGTACATCCTAGTCCATAACAATGGGATCGACATGACCAATTGGGATTTCCTCATTAGGTATAATTTCCCCTGGGTCTTGGGAATTGCCCATCTTATAGTGACCTCTACCAACCAAGTGCATTATGTTGAGATTCATTGAGTAGTGAATCAACTCAAACTTGGAGTATGAAAGTTTTGATGATAACAAAAGGTGGATTCTGAGAATCAAAGATGACCAAGGACATCAACAAGTCAAAAAACAAGTCAAGAAGAAGATATGACTATTGTGATATGTAATAGGGATAGCTCATAAGTTGTATTGATTTGTTTAGCTTATTTTGCATGTGTGTGCTTTGCGCATGAGTTAATCTTAATCTAATTTGACTGAGAGTGAGTATGATGATGATTTAAATACTTGGAAAGTTATTTTGAGATATAAAACTGAGTTTTTGAAAATTAACTCAAAATAATCGATTAACATTAAATGTAATCGATTATTCCAATAACAGGTGAAAGGAAGCCTTGCTGTAATAATCGATTATTTGTGAAATAATCGATTATCCCAGGAAGCATTCTCTGGAATAATCGATTATCCTGCAAAATAATCGATTATTATGTTCTTGAGTGATTTCCAGAAATCATGAAGAACAAAATAATTGATCATCATTTAAAATAATCGATTATCTAGTTCTGAAAATGTTATAAATAGTTTTCACAGTTTGAAACTTCAAAACAGAGAATGAGTTAACAATCAGAAAGAGAAAAACATTATTGTGAAGTCTTTGTGATCTTCTTGGAGTGTTTTCTTTGTGAAACCAAGAAGTAAAATATTTTTTGAAATTCTTTGAAAGAAATCATCATCATCACATTCTTGGGAGAGAAAGATTGAGATTTGCTTTTGGAATTCACAGTCTGATTTGTTCAGCTTCCAGGTGAATTCGTTTCTTTAATTCTTTGTAAAAAATTATAAGGGAAATCTTGAGTAGGTGTCCCAAGTGGTAAGAAATTCTTGTAGTGGGTTTCTACAAGAAGTGCTTTCATGAGGTCAAGAAAGTGGTTATCTTGAATGTAGGAGTATATGCATGTGTGGTATGCTTGTAAAACTTCTTCATTGAGATAGTGGAACAAATCTTGATTAGGTTATGATTGAGGACTGGATGTAGGTCACATGTGGAGTGGCTGAACCAGGATAAAAGACTTGTGCATTATTCTCTCACCCTTATCTTTTACTTTGAGCAAAATTTTGATTGTGTGTTAAAGGGAATAATCTTGATTAATATGTTTGTATGCACAACATTGCTTTAAACTGAATCAAAGTGTTGCATATTAAGTGTTCTTAACTTTGAACTTTATCAAAGATTAATCAAGAAAGCATATAGGACTCATTCCCATTAGCAAGTCTTTCAAGGAATTTCTTTAAGAATTCATATTAGAAAAGTTTAAATTGAAATAAAGATCCTAAGAACTCTGAAATTTTTTAAAGTGTCATAGAATCCAATTCACCCCTCCTCTTGGATTGAGCCATTCTTTTCTAACACATTAGACACTTTCTCCATCAAAATATGGTTCATAATGCAATGATACATGTTCACAAACAATACCCATAGACTTCATAATAAATCACATAAGACACCTCCCCTTTTAGGTTAGATCCTCATTTTCTTAAAAAATTTTTTTATTGTCATGGTACACAAACCTCATCTTCATCTTAACATTATCATTCATCAATGTCTTAATATGAATTAGGAATGATAAATGAATTCATTTATCCACCATTCATTTGATTCAATAAGTGAATTCATCCAATCCATCCATTATGATAAAAAATAAATAATTGATTGGATTCAATCTATTCATTTAATTTTATGGACAGTTAGTAATTTACCCAATACTTTTCAAAATTCATTGGAATAAAATATAAGATATTTATTATATTAAAATTTTAAAAGGCTATTTTGACATATAAAAAATCCTATGAATTTTAAAAGACTATATAAAAATGTAATGACTTTTAAAGAAAAGAAACAAATAAAATATCTTAAAAATATTTTTTAAAACATTACTTTTATGGATGAGTTTAATATCCATTCATGAAAAAGAATTTGACGGATAAATTTTATTTACTTTAAATGGATTGGATTTATATGTGAATTTTAATGGATCTAATTGGATTAATAGATTATTTTATTTGTTCCATTATGATTTGCCTAAAAAGATACCCGATCATTTTTCACCCCTAATATGAATCAATCATAGTCAACCAATACAAAATAATAGATGAAATTATACTAAATCCAACCCATCAAAACTAGGAACTAGTGTTTAACGCCCAAATTCAAATAAGGTTATGATTGACGAAGGGTTCTAATGAACAAGGAGTTAAGTGAAGTGGAGTATAGTAGTTGAGACATCAAATATGAGAGATGTTACATTATTCTCTCACTATCATTATTAAACAAATAAATATGTCATTTACATTAATCAACTATATTATCAATTAATTTAATCAAACACTTATGATTCAATCAATTAGTTTATATTATCAATTAATTTAATCAAACACTTATGATTCAATCAATTAGCTTTTGTAAACTTCTAATTTTTCTACTCTTAACTTATAACTCATAAGCTTTTAGCTAACTTATAAACTTCTAACAAACTTATAAGGTAGTTTTACTAAATACATCAACTATAATTGTGCTACTTATGGGAAGAGATGGATTAAAATTTTACTTTATTACAAAACACATTTTAATTTGGCATGTATATATAGTTAATTAACCAATAATTTTAGGCTAAATTATATTTTTATTCCCTTTCTTTATTTTTAGGATTCAATTTAATCCTATTATTTTTAAAAGATTCAATTTGGCTTTTTAATTTTCAAAAATGTTCAATATTGTCCTTCCATCCAAATTGACACTAATGACATTATTAGATGAAAGGACAACAATGAATAATTTTTAAAAATAAAAGGACCAAATTGAATATTTTAAAAATAGTGGGATCAAATTGAACATTTAAAAAAATAATAAGACCAAATTGAGAATTTTAAAAATATTATGAACAAATTAAAAAAATCATTTAATATTATTTTTTCTAGATAAATTTGAATTTCTTTTACTCACCTTAACAAGATCATGAATGACAACAATGAGTACTTGGAATTAAAAAAAAAAAAGACCACAAAATGAAGGGGTTATCTAATAAAAAAGATTATTAAATGGGTATAATAAAATCCAAAATTATCTAAATAAAAAAATGTTAGATAAGTTTTTATTCTATTTAGATACTATATTTATAGAATATTCAATTTGCTCTCACTATTTATAAATGATTCGATTTGATTATCTAATTATCAAATAATGTTCAATGTTGTCATTTCGTTCAATATTATTAATATCATTAATGTCAATTTGGATGGAAAGATAACATTAAATATATTTTAAAAGATTAGAAGATCAAATTAAACTATTTAAAAATAGTGAGAATAAATTAAATCTTAAAAATAAATAGAAGGGCTAAAAGTATAATTTATTCATAATTTTAAGTTTAAATTATGAGTAAGTAGTTGCAAAAAAATTATATAAAAAATTTGGTTTATAATGGTTTAACCTAATATGAATAGATTCGTTTCTTATAGAAAATATATGCAATTTTAAAATATAAAAAATAATTTGACTTATTGATTTAATAAAAAAAATGGTTGAATTAATTAAACTAATATTTTAGTATGTACAATATGTTAAATGTTTATTATGTAATTAAAATTTATAATAAATTATATGTATAGATAAATATTATGTTTGAATATATAAATCATATTTAAAATTACATAAATAGATATTTTTAAACATATAAATTATATTTTAGATTTATGATAAATAATTCATATTATGGTATAATATTATTTTTATTTATTGATATTTTATTGTTTAAAAAATATCTAAAAATTCTTTCATCAAAGAAAAGACCCCTGACAATATTCTAAATAGAGATTCATTTTTAATATATAGGAGTTGATAGATTATTTAAGAAATATATGGGTCAACAAATTATAAACCAGTATTTTTACCCATGACTTGTCTAATTTTTAAAAGAAGATATGTTGGTTTAAGCTTGTAGAAAACTAAGGGGGTGTATTGGATTGAAATTTCATAAGACTTTAGTACAAAAAATTCTCGTGAATTTTAAAAGATTTTGTATGAATTTAATATCTTTTAAGATTTTTTCAAAAGATTACATAGGAATGTAATGACTTTTTAAGATTTTTTTTAAAAGACTTTTTTAATCAAGATTTTATAATATTAACTTTAATGAATTTGTATCTTAAGAATTTATAAAATTTAAAAGGATTTTGTTAGATTTAAAAAGACAATATTTTTTTTTTAAAATAATACAGTTAATAAAAAAGAACATAAATGACAATATTTAAATAAAGAAAAGAAAATCAATACTTTTTAAAATTTTAGTAAACAATTAATTTTGTTTCATATTCTTTTAAGTAATATTTCTCTATATACAATTTCTATGCATTTATATTTTCTGATTCATACTATTGAATTTGAATAATATGTTCAAATTTATGATATTTATTAACTGATGGAATTGTCAAAAAATATTTTTAATATATATTTAAAATTTTGATATTTCAATATTAAAGTTTAATGAAAATAAGCATTAAAAAGAGAGTGAGAGAGGAAAAAGAGAGAAACAAAAAAGGCTAGAGAACAAATAGGAGAAAAAGTTTAAAATTTAGAATTCATGTGAAATTTCAATAGCTTTGTGAGATTATTTTATAAATAAAATGTGAAAATTTTATTAAAAAGTCTCACAAAACTTATCCATCAAAATAATCCACTAATTTCTTCATTTTTTTGGGTATACAAATAGACTTTTTTTAAAGTGAAAAAATACTTAATTAAATACCACTAGATTTTAGATTTTGATGTATTTTTTAAAAAAATCTTAATTATCTTAATTGAATAATATATAACTTTTTTATAATATATTTTTTAAAATCTTTTAAAATCTCAATTTAATACATCTCCATAAACTACCAAAGAAATTCACGTTTCCATTTGTTGTGATTCTTTTTGAGAAAAATGTTATCAACACACTCTTTTAAACAATTCTTTTTCAATTAGTTAAAATTTATTAAAAAAATATAAAATTTGATAAATTATATATCCTATTTAATAACTTTTTCATTTGATTTTGTAATTTTTAACTAACAAAAGTAAATATATTAAAAAGTGTGTTATTAACACACTAACTATCTTGAAATAGCTGGATCTGGGTTTTTTAAGTTTTTGCCATTTTGGTTGGGAGTTAGGAGCTCAAATATTTTGTTTCTTGTCTCTTTGCCTAAGCATAGATAAAGAGAAAAGTATGAACTTTACTAGCATATGCAATAAACAGCTAATAATTGACAGAAATTGATGGCATTATCTTGTAGCTTTCAGTTAATGGAAAGATTTTGAAAGGACTAAATTTTAAATTGTGAAATTGAACATGTTTTTACCCTTTCTTTATTATTCTAAATGTACACATTAATTGGTTCATGGTGGACAACTTTCAAATTATCATGTTGTACGCATAAATACCTATTATTACTATTATCACGGTGAATTATAACGTAAGGGGCCAAAAAAATCTAGCATTTATGTAGGTTTAATTTTATTTTAAAATATTAAAATAAAAAAATAATTAAAGCTGAATCATTCTTTCAAATACTATAACCGTTTATTTTTTTTCATAAATATAATCACCTAATATTTTAAAATTAATAATTAAAGATTAATTTATGTTTGTAAGATTTATTTTATTTTAATAATATTTAACATTTTTTTTAATGAGAGGGACTTTTTTTTTAACTCTTTCCTCTTTCCCACCCTATTTATACTATTTTAATATAAAAAAAATAAGATTATGAAAAGTCTCAAAAGAGTGAAAAAATGAACATGCAATGGTATCAATATAGTTGGGTGTATTTGTTTGGTGCAAATAGACTTCAAACAATTATTAGATAAGTAAATTGTTTAAAACATTCATTTTCTTTTATTGATTATCAATACATTTGGTTTAAACTATAATCATAATATCATTTTATCATCAGGAATATGAGAGGATATCATATACTAAAAAGTTCAAAGTTAAAGAAAAAAATTAGTTGACTCTCTTTTAAAGTAAGATATTTTAATTCTATCAATGATATTTTTTTAGGGTACTTTATTTTGAATTATTACTACTATTAAAATTGATTTTACATTCTTTTTGTAGTCTCCTAAACAATATGAGTAGGCTTAAATAAATTTTACAATTTTGAAAGTTTTTATTTTGCATGTTTTATGAATTATTACTACTTGTTCTAATTTTTCTTAACAGATATTTGTAGAACAATCACCATTACCACTATAAGATATAAACACTATTAGGGAGCAATAGACTACATTTTTTTATTGACCATTACATTGACTAGTTTGGACTTATGTTTTGTAGTATTGTATTAACTAGCAACGAATTATATTTCATTGAGCAATGACCACATTTATGTATTACATGTATTTAAAACTTTTTGATTATATATATGGTTGTCAGTTGTATGCAATTTAGTTTACTGAGAAGTAACATAAAAAATATAAACATTTTGGTTAATTGAAAACACTTGAATTGTCTCGTATTTATTAATTTGCAAGTTTTGTTCTTCCCAAAATATGCCAAATATTTTAAAAAAAAAATTCATCACTTTTAAGATTAGTTATATCACAATCAATCTTAAAAGTCCAATTTTTATGATTAATTATGCCATAATCAATTTTAAAAATTAGACTTTTAAGATTAGTTATGAAAGAACCGATCTTAAAGGTCCACTTTTAAGACTAGTTGATAGCCAATTTTAAAAGTTCAATTTTTTAAAATTGGTTATTTATGATCGGTTGGACAATCAATTTTAAATGTAAAAAAATAACCAATTTTTAAAATCTTTTTTCCACTAATGGGTTAAAAATTGAATGAGAAATTTTGATATACATGCATGTCACAACACACGTAAATAATTTTGTCTAATTTCTTAAAAGAATTGAACACTTAATAAAATCCTTGGTTTATATTTGCCTTAATAGGCCATGATTATAGGTAATGACATTTTGCACGTAAATAGAAAAAAATATTTCAATAATTTATTTTGTGCACCTCATTAGGAAAAATTTTCAATCCTTTCATTAGTATTTTTCCCCTAGTTTGAAAAGGGTGAAAAGAGATGATTCGATTAAGTCACTTACGAAGGATGAGGTTTCTTTGCCCTAAATTCTATGAAGCATTATAAAGTCTCAGAAGCATATGGTTTCCAATGTATTTTCTATAAACATTGTCACTTGGTGGGTGATGGTTTGTGTCTTCGTGTGATTCTCTTGTATTACTTTTGATCCAGTACATTTGTTTAAAACAAAATATGGTGGAATATAAATGAAATATAAACAAAATTCAAGTCCAAGTCTTTTAACCAACATCACCATCTAGTTGATCCTCAACATTTTTTTTTTGTCCAAATATAGATAAGATAAACAAAGCAATTGGTGAGATACATCCCACTCATGCTCCTTGTGTATAACAAAGGTTAGGTAGTCACAAACATAACAAGTGTAAGGAAACCATAATATACAATATATCTCACCACATTCAAGAATCAAGAATAACATTCTTATTATGCAATGTTATCATATTCTAATGCAGTTGTACAATTTCAAAATCTCATCTCAAAGAGTATATCCACTAGTGCAAAAAAGGGTATTTACGTCACTACACCATAAGGGTTTTATTTATAGACTTTTATCTAACATTTTGCTAACCGAGATTCTAATTACAGTCAATGGGCTTTTTTCTGTGGTTCTGGTTGTGGTTGACTTTCTTGCCTATCAAATACTTTTCCTTTTCCGAGTACACTATATTTCTTCAGATCAAGAGCTTGTTAGTCTCAATTTTCGGTGGCATAAAATGGTATTTATGGATCAATAATAAATTTCTTTTTTGTATATTTTGAAATCATAATAAGTATGTTTTCCCACTTCAATTATGGTTTGTGGATTAAAGAATATACAACCAAAATCCTGCCTTTTGTTTTTTATTTTAAAGGTTCCAAAAATGGTTGTGTTTTTATTTTCTTTTAAAGGAGAAAGTGCAAAAGTAATAGCTGAAAAATTTTCTGAGGACTTTTGTCAAGAAAGTTTTCTGGAGGAAAAAGTAGTTATGTCCAAATTGAAAAATGTTCTGTTTTCATGTTATTTTGCTACTTAGGTTTTTGTTCTGTTTCCAGGATAAATGTTAGTGAGAATGTGAGATCTTGTGCTTTCAAACTTTCTAGTAACCTGTAAAACTATTTTCTACAATCGCCTTTCCTACAGTCATGTTTGAAACAACTGCTATGAAAAGGTTTAGTTATGTGGTTCAGTCATGTGCTAGTAACCTGTAAAACTATTTTCTACAATCACCTTTCCTACAGTCATGTGCTTGTAAATTTTTGTGTAAAGCTTGTTCTGGTATTTCCTAGCTTTTCCATTGCTTCAGTAGTCCAGTTATTATTTTTTATTTTATTGATTTAGCAGCATGGGATTGTTGAATGAAGAGCTTGTTGAAGACAGACTTGTGAATCGTTCATTGCAAAAGGGGTTGCTTTTGGAATTCAAGAAGGATTCTGATAGAGTATTGCTAGCAGTAGCTCAGAGACCTGATGGCAAGAAGAACTGGATGGTTTCTGATCAGGTTCTAGTAGAAACAACATAATGCGGCATGTTTAATAGGTTGCTAGGTGTTGGAACTTCTTGCATTTTTATAAATGCTAAATATTGCTGGATTTTGTGTAGTCTAACTCTTCCTTGTTTTTGTTGGGCTGAAGAATGATGTCACTTCTTCCATCAAACCGCAACAAGTGACATATATTGTTCCTGGTGTTGACAATTTTGACCAAGCAGATATTGCAGATTTTGCTCAGAAGGCTCAGGATAACATGGTCAGTTCCAGTGTTCCACAATGGAGATGGTAACAAATAAACCAAATTTGAAACTTGTTCATATGTCAATAAATAAATTCTGGATGATATGATACAGGACCCATCACTACTTGAATTTGCTTGGATTGAGCTCCTCGAGAAGAATAAGTCTGTGACAGTTGAAGAGTTGGCTGAGGTAATATGCTTTCTTGACTAGATGTCAATGCATGCTTTCTTTGTCCTTAAATGAGTTGCTTGTTCTGCAGATAATTTTTGGCAGTGCTGAGCCCCTTGAGAGCTATTCTGCTCATCTCTTGCTATCAAAAGATGAAGTATACTTTACTGTACTGGAGACTAAAGGATGCCGCTCCATTTATGGTCCTCGACCAAGTGGGCAGGTAGATGTATTACTTTCACGTGTTGAGTAGCTATAAAAATTATGGATTTTCAATTACTCAAGTTATGTAGCTCCTCTTTGGAGTATTTTCCTAACATATAAACGTGCTACATGTTTAGGTGTTTTGCTTTTACTTGTTATATATTACTTGTAAGCTGGGATCACATAAACACGTAATAATAGTTTAAACCAGTACCTAGCCACACTAGATAATTACTATTATGCGTTGTTTTAAAATTTGGACTTACCCGGTCAGTTCGACCAATCCGACTGAGAACTGTTATGACTTATGATGACTGGTTTTTTACTCTAAAAAACTGGTTCGTCTTAGAACTAAGGTTGTGAAACTTGAGTTTGTAGAGCTTCCATAAACTTGACTTGTAAACTCATAAGAGTTTACTTAATATACAAATAATATTAAAAATCTTATTAGTAATATATATGTATGAAACATGATACTTCATATAATAAAGAAAATAACAAATCACAATAATATAGTAACAGTTTGACAATACCCATATATAAATTAAAAAAAATGTTTTTAAAATAAAAACATTTAAAAAAAAAACTAATATATTAATATTATACAACTAAAACAGCCAAATAAATTCTTTGTCCACAAATTGTAAAAAATAATTATCCCCCCTAATTACACAACCTACTATCAAATATATACTCACTGCCACCAAGCATTTTCTAATACAAAACTGCTTTCTAAATTCTAATAGATTTGCTACCAGATATTTATTTACTCCTAAATCTAATACATAACTGCCAGCAGTTACTTTCTATGCACGACTGTCATCATGCAGTTTCTAATACAGAACCGCTTTCTAATAGATTTGCTATTAAAAAACCAGTTATTTTCTATCACATATACTCTTAAAAATTAACTACCTCCAATCCATTAAGGGAACTAACTTGGATCATAGTTCTCATCACATAGCCATGAAAGTGTGATAACTTTTTAGAATGTTTATTCTTCTGGTTTGATTTACTAGTTGCTTTCAGATGAACTGAAATAAATGTCTACAAAATTATTTTTGAAAAGGAAGGTTGAGGAGCTCATTCGTAGGAAGCTTGCAAAGGAGGCCGCTGAGAAAGAACTAAAGGAGTTTATTGAATTACTGACCTCTGCAAAGTCAATGTCTTCACAAGATAAACCTCCAAAATCTTCATGGACAATTGATGAGAAAATTTGGAACAGAATCGAGTCACTTGAAGCATATGCTATTGATACATGTAAAAATGACGAACAAAGGAAAACAGCTGGGATGGTAATTTTTTCCCTCAATTGTTATGTAGGCATGTAACATTGTAGCAATTGGTATTTTATTTCCAGGTATATAAATAATATGAAGAGATAAGGAAATAGGGGAGCGGAGAATCTTTGCACGAGATTCTCAAACTTATTTTAATTAGATTCCTTGTATATATATTTGTATAATTATGAATTGTATCAAATACAAGTCTAGTACTAATGTACCACTTCCTAACAATGAGCATTTATCCACGTACCAAGCCCAATAGTGCTGGACGTGAGGGGGTGTATTGGGAAAAACCCAAGTCCCACATCGACTAGAGATTAGGCAATTGAATAGTATATAAGTGGAAAGCAACCCTCACCTTACAAGCCGGTTTTGTAGGGTTGAGTTAGGCTTAATCCACTATTCTAACACCCGTCAATGATATCAAAATTTCACATAAAACCCCTATCATACTCTAAGAGTGTGTTTCGATAAGAAATTTAAATGGAGTAATTCTTTTTTTTTTTTTGGAAGAATTTCAAATACCTTCAAGTGAAATGCTTTGTTTGGATGAAGAATTTATAAAGAATTTGAAATTCAAAAATTTGTAAAATTTCTTAAAATAGTAGAATTTCAAATTCTTTCAAAGAAGTAAGAATTTGAAATCCTTCGTTCTCTTTTTTTCCTATCTCTATCTTTTCTCTTTCAAAGTCACCTAGAAAATATCAATAGTTTTTTTTTAATTATTGAATATTCAAAATTATTTTTTAAATTATTAAATATTATTTAAATATTAATTTTTAAAATTATGAAATATTTAAAAATTGACTAATATTTAGTTTTATAAAATTAAATCTTAAAATTTTAATATATATTTGTTTAAAATCAATTTTACCTATGGTAAAAATTAAATTTCCCTATCAAAATATACACAAAAAAAAAAATTGCCCTATCAAAATTAAGAATTTAAAACTTTAAAAATTTGAATTGATTTGTCCAAACAAGAAATTTAAAGAATAATGAAAATTGAAATCAAAGTAATTCAAATTTTAAGAATTTTAAATTCCTTGAATTTTTAAAATTCCTCATTCAAACACACCATAAGGGTTTTATTTATAGACTTTTATCTAACATTTTGCTAACCGAGATTCTAATTACAGTCAATGGGCTTTTTTCTGTGGTTCTGGTTGTGGTTGACTTTCTTGCCTATCAAATACTTTTCCTTTTCCGAGTACACTATATTTCAAAATACACGACGTAAAAGACCCTTTCTGTACTAGTGATCTTAGAAGTACATGTAGGTAGACAGAGCCACTCAACATAGGTGCTTGACACCAATCACTCTCAACTAGGGGGAAAGATCCAACAATGGCTTGTTGAGATTACAAAGTTGTACTAGGTCCATCCTTACTCATCATAAAGTTAGATTGGATCTCCCAAGCCAAGTTAATCCTCGAGGTCTAGATTTGAAGATCCTCAATGTGGCATCCTTGGCATATGATTCCACACAGAAACCTCAGAAACTCAACTTTATGCATATGATGCATGTTACACATCAATATGTTACATGCAATCCCCAATATCTAAATTATCATTATTCAACTGCTCTCATGAGAAATCTCATTCCTCTAGAATGATTCCTTTCAAGGTGCGCCATAAATACCTTATGTTCTCAAGATTCTCATAAATAATCATTTATAATTACATAAATAAGAAACAACATACACAATATGTCAATACAATAAAAACAACCGACTAAATCATGCATTGATAAATATATTTTTAATTCTACATCATTTTCCTATTATAACAAGTATCTATTCATGTTTAGGGCATATATATATATATATACATATATATATATATATTAGGGATTTATTTACTTTAGGAGTAAGTCTACCTAGACTTATTCCGTTTAATAACTCATATTTTACATCAAATTTCAATGATCTAATCATTGAAATTAAACTTTTTAATGCATAAATTAAGTATGCAAAATTTTAAAAAATTTGAAAATCATTTGATATTTCATTTCATTAATTCAAATTGACGAATAATCATAAAAATATTTTATATATTAATTTGAATTATTGAAACGAAGTATCAAATAGTTTTCTTTTTTAAAAAAAAAATTTGCAAACTTGATCTATGCATTTAAAACTTTAAATAAATTATTGAAATTTGATGTAGAATATAAATTATTAAATGGAGTAAGTCTAAATAGACTTACTCTTAGAATAAACGAATCCCTTCTCTCTCTCTCTCTCTCTCTCTCTCTCTCACACACACACACACACACACACACACACACACACACACACACATATATATATATATATCATTCCTTAATATATATATCATTCCTTAAGTTATTGGGTACTATATCATTCACAATCTTTTTTACTTTTGTGACCTTTATCAGGCAAGCATGATTCCTAAAATTATATTAATGCTATCAAGTTGGTTTTGATCTCATGGGGAAGGAGGAGAGATTATCTACAACTTCTATGTTGAGTTCAATATTTGGTTTACCTTCTACTATACCTAAACTTAAAAATGTGCAACATCTTCGTGTAACTTTCATAACTTGACATTTTTTCACTAATTTTATCATATTTTAAGTTATAGAAGTGATATTGAGGTGATTCCAAATATGTTGTTTAACTAACATTTAGGGCTATATTTCATTTGAAATTCAATAAGCCTAATTCGATCATACAATTCTCTTAAGGAGACACTTAACTTGCTAAGAGAATTTTCACTTAACACAACTTAACCATCTTAAAGAAAAAACATGATAGTAACTAAATTTGAAGCATCGTAAATAAACAAAACCCATTAGGATCTAAGGTCAACTCATTTACCCATAATTAACAAATCAATAGGTCATCACTCACTGTTATCATTATTCAACAAGGCTTAGAGTCAATCACTTTAACCCTAATTAAGATTGGGAATTACAATAAAACAACAAGAATAATAAAAACTAATTTAATAATCAATTTATACAAAATAATTACTTCAAGGTATAACTCATCAAAAAGACATACAATTAAATTTAATGAAATCTCTGGGGTCAAGACCAATTTTGCTACCTATAATTTGGCCATTCTTATTAGTGGGATAACTCACTTTCTTTACCTAGAAAACGGTATTGCAAAAACAATGGTGCAAAGATGTGATTCTCTCTTTGAGATTTTGTCGATTCAACTTATATTTTTTATGGCACAAGGGTTTCGAGAGGCAAAAAAAAATAGTATTTTGTTTAAACCTAATAGACTTTTTAAATAAAAAATTCATTGGACCTAATATAAGAAATAATCCATTAAATCTAATATGATAAGATTCCACTAAAAAAGTTATTTAAAAATTACTACACAAACTATCTAAATAGTAAAAAAGAGATGGTGGTTAAAGTGAACTACTCTTCTAAATAGTTTGTAGTGCTCAAGTAAATATTATCTGTTAGATATATTATTATCATTTTCAACGGTTTAGATGATTGAGTTGTAAAATATATACCATTTTTTTCAAATAAAAAATATTTTAACTATAATTGTATATTACTTATTTATCCTTACTTTTTTTTAATAAAAAAAGGCATAATTCTTAAAGGTTATCCTCGTCTATAACTTAGTCATCCTTTCAATTGCTTTGCACCAACACTCCATCATAGAGATTGACTGTGATTAGGATTGTTTTGACGACAATTTACACTCCCACACTAAAGGTATGTTTGATAGATAGAAAAGAAATAGAGCAAAGAGAATAGAGAAGAGAAAAATGAGTGAGTAAAAATAGGTAAGAAATAGAGTGAGAATTTAGTTGTTTAGTTGAAAAGAAATAAGTGAAAAATAATATTATGTATACTTAATAAGATAGAAATAAATAAGTAAAAAATAAAGTATATACAAAAGAGAAGAGAAAAAATAAAATAAAAAGAAAGAAATAGAAAAAAATATATTTTAAATTATTTTCTTATTAATTATTTTTTGATATTTTAATTATTTAAATAAAATAACTTCTCATTAGAATAAAAATGAGTCACTTTCGAATAGAATGACTTTTCATTTGAATATCATAAGTTTTCGATCAAATAAGCATTAGGATTTGCATCAATTTTTCATCTATTTCTCCAAAAACTGCGAAGAAATAAAAAAAAAAGTGAATCTCATGTCTTTTTTATTTCTTGTTTGACAATTTCTTATGAAAAAAAAAAACTTATTTCTCGACACTATCTCTACGTGTCCTCTCTCACACTGTCGCGGGTTATTATTTGTTTTTCATTTTTGTTTCGCTACAATTGCAATCGGCAACGGTTGCATCATTAGCATATAACAATCGTTGTCTAAAGTCTAAACGAATTATAAAAGAGAAAAAAAAAATCTATTATTACATGGATACCCAAGTGTAAAAAAAATCCATTTAATAAAATCGAGATGTTAAGACCTACTAGAAACCATAGTTTTAAAAATCGGATCGGTCATCGAACCGGTTAAGGTATTGAGTCAGTGGGTCAAAGGTTGAACCTCGATTTTTATTAAAAAATATTTATATTAAATATATTTTATACTTATAAATTTTAATAAATTCATATCTTATTTTAAATTTCAATTTTTCTATCTTATTTAAAATTATTTTTATTTTTATTTTGTAAAAAAATACATAAAAAAATTACATGTTAAACGGTATATTAATACAAATTAAAAATATAAATAATATGTACATATATAATATGCTTGCAATTAATATCACAAAATAATATATGTAATATTTACATAGATATTGAATTATTAAATATATAATTTAAAATTAATAATATACTATAAAAGTTATTTAAGTTGTATATATTGCAAACAAATATATTAGAACAAGTAATCATTGTTATATTTAATAAGACTCTTTACTTTTTCATTAAGAGATTCAATTTTCATTATTATTTTTGTGATTTATGGTCCCTTAAAAAAATTTTTTAAAAAAAAAGTGGTTGAACCGGTTTGACCCACCGGTTCACCGGTTGAACCGGAAAATTGACCGGTTCAATCCAGTTTGAAACGGGTCGACTGCATAACCGATCCAACTTCAGATTCAGACCGGCTGGACCACCGGTTCCCGGTCCGACCGGCCGGGTCGGTCTGGGTTTTAAAACACTGCTAGAAACTCATCTAAAAAAAATTACTACCCAATCTTATCATGAAAGTTATTTTATGGTATATGTATGAGATATTGTTTATTTTGTATTTTAATTTTTATAATTGTATTTTTAATCATTATAATTTTTTTTAATTATTAAAATATGTATATTTTATAAGTTATTATTTTTTCCATGTTTATATCTGATTTTATCATCAAGATCATGGTAAATGGTGTTGAATTTGAAAATTTCATAAGTTTCTCTACTTGCACCGGCACTCCAAAACCATTGACAATAGAAAAAGAAAACCAGAATTGAAGAAACAAAAAGGAAAGGTTAGATAAAGAATTCATAATGTCCCAAAAGTCCACCCAAAGTGGTTGAGCTAAACCATTATATATTTAGTGTTCACATTACCCCTTCTTCTTCTTCTTCTTCTTACATAGTTACATTGCATCATCACCTTCCTCTGACTCAATCCATTGTCCACCCCTTGAGACCCATGTCCGGAGAGCCACGCCAATTGGAGATCCACCTGCGGCTAAATTCCAAGAGAGGAAGCACCATGGTGCACCCTGTGTCCGTGGATACCACGGTCTCTGCGCCACCCTTCAGAGAGGAGGTGAAGCTCTACCGCAAGTGGTTCCCTTGGTTGGTACCTCTCTTTGTTGTTGCCAACGTCCTTTTGTTTGTCATCACTATGTACGTCAATAACTGCCCCCACAACTCTGTCTCCTGCATTGCCTCCTTCTTGGGTCGCTTCTCCTTTCAGCCCTTCAAGGAAAACCCCCTCTTGGGCCCTTCGTCCTTGACGTGAGTTCTTCTACCATTGCTATTCATGTTGCCACTTTCTTTTGCTTTATTTAGGTATATGGTAATTATTCCTTCTTCTTTTTTTTATAAAAAAGTAATTTTTTTTTTAAAATGTTGCTTAATAATTAATTGGGTGCTCTCAGGATCGATTTGCCAGCATGATTACCATAATAGTGTGGTAGGGAGTGGAGTAGAGGCAAGAAAAATTAGGTTCTATGATTCTATTTATACTGGTAGGATTAAGCGAGGTCTCCTTGAATTCTTGTCGAAGACTATCTAAGGGAATATTTCGAAAACATGGTAAGATTGCTTGTTAAAGGTGATTAGATAATAACTGAGCCTGCCATCTAGGCTCAAGCCCACTTATTATCTAATCACCTTTGACAAACAATCTTACCATGTTTTCAGAATTCAAGGATATTATCCTACCGGTATACTATCCTTATTGATACCATTGTAATAAAGGTGTGGTTTGTTTAAGGTGATCATTAATATTGTAAAAAAATGTTGACAAATTGTGACTACAATTATCATGCATGAGGATTTGGGTTTGATCTTAGTTGGTGTCGTTGTAATCTTTTCTAATGATTAAAAAAAAGTTGTGGCTGTTTTAAGGTGATCATTAATATTGTGAAAAATTGTTGACAAATTGCGACCACAATTATCTTGATCCTTGATATTTCAGAAAATTGTGGACAAATCCAGCTGAATTGCGGTTTCCATGGCCTATGGGAGACCTTGAAAACCTTAATGTTGTGCTTGCATATTATTTTTAAAACCTTTAATTGTACTGTTATTTATTGTGTGAATTTTTATCTTTTGGGTAAATATAGATATATTGGATAGAAGAGGAAGATTGAATAGAAAATTTGTTATGACATCAATGGCAAAAATTTTATCGCACTAGATGAGGTTTGCTACATGAATCACACACCAGTATAGACTCTGTTAAAGATTGAGCGACGCGTTTTAGGTATATCGATAAATTTTACTTTGACTATTGAGGGCCTAACACAACACTCCTTCTTTACCGGAGATTGGGACTATCTATGATACCATGTATCGATGTCAAAATGGGTTCAATCCAACATGTTGACCCACATAAGTCGCTCGAACGAGTTAGGTTGGATTGGTCAGTTAGGTTGACCTATTTTTTTCTTCACTTCTACTTATTGACACCGACTTATAGTGTTTTATGTGTAGTTCATTTGTTTATTGAGACTTATGATTGTATTGTGGACTTATATTATTGTTGATGGACTTATTAAGTACATGCTCCATTGAACATTTGAATTATTTGATTGATTACTAGTTTTATAACAATTTTTTTATTATATTTGATCATAAAATTTGAAGAAAATTCAAGATAAACAAAATGAAAGTGATTTATAATTTTTTTCATGAATTGATTGGTCAACCTAACCCAACTTAACCCACCAACCCACCATAGGATGGGTTAGGTTGGGATTTTCCACCGAATGAAAAAGCAGGTCCAATCAAACAAACCTATTTTTCAGCTGATTGGGTTGAGTTGGCCCGATTGACACTCCTAGGTGATGTTAATTATTATAAATTATATAAATTTATTATTGCCTATTGATGGTGGTGGTGGTGATGACGACAATGTTGAAATAGTAGTAGTATTTATGTTTTAGATGGGACTGAAATTTATGGATGCTTCTGAATTCTGATATGAGTGACTTTAATGATCTGTTGGGAAATATGGATTATGAAATTGACTGTTACTGGGATTGAACAAGTGGGGTTTGTTTGTTGTTCAGGCTGCAGAAGATGGGGGCTCTTGATGTGAGCAGAGTGGTTCATAGACACCAGGGATGGCGCCTCATTACTTGTATGTGGCTACATGCTGGGGTTTTCCATCTGTTGTCAAATATGTTGGGTATTCTAGTCATTGGAATTCGGCTTGAGCAAGAATTTGGGTTTGGTATGTGTGGTATATTCAAGATTAAGGCTTGTTTCTTATCTATGTTGCTTGCAATTATTAGCTTTTGTAGGACTATAGTATTTAATATGATTATATAGATCTTTGGTACTGCAAATTTACCAGATTTTGGTTTTAGGCGTGGTCTCCCTAAAATTAGAGTTTTGACTTGTGTCAGTTTTTAAAAGTGAGCACTTTTGGTCTCTTCTGTTATCATATCCATGAAGTGCTATGCTACTAATGACAAAAACTCAATAACCAAAAGGGACCGCTTTAAAGCCAAAACTAATATTTGAAAGGGACTAAAGCCAAATTTTGATAATAATTATAGGGTGGCAAAACATTTGTTTAAATTCTGCTGTAAAATGTAAATAACTCATGCCAGTGACAGAAGTAGAGGTTTTTGGTTTTTCTGCCAAGATTTCTTCTGTTTTTCTGTATTGTTCAAACTTTTGTACTCCAAATTCATTACGGTTTTGAGTGGAAAAGTAGATAGATAAAACTAACTATAACTAGAGTAAGGAATTAGTACTTTATTCTGAATAAGGAAAATATGTCAACAAACTCAACTGAACGGTAGCTTATAACTAGTAATTGATAGTTGGCGTAAGGTTAACACTTGGTAGCCTCTATAGTATAGACTTCCGAAAAACTTCTAAATTAACTGTAAAAATCTCATTTGAGAAATAATGTGAGTTGTACTGCTTATTGTTGGGTAAATAGGTATGATTTTCTTGTGTTGTGTTATTGTTTGCCCAGTTTACCTCTAAATTCTTTACTGATTCTTGCATACATGTACTACAGTGCTTATTGGACTGCTGTTTGTCATATCTGGATTTGGAGGGAGTTTGCTTTCTGCTCTTTTCATTCAGTCAAACATTTCTGTCGGTGCTTCGGGTGCCCTCTTTGGCTTGCTGGGAGGCATGCTTTCAGAACTCATTACTAACTGGTCTATATATGATAACAAGGTGCTTATTAAATTTCTCATTTGAAACTGTGAGTGTTTCAATAGGAAAGATCATCTCTAAAATGCAACCTACTGACAATCAAGATTTTCTTTTCATGTGAAGCTAGCAGCATTCCTCACCCTTGTGATCATCATTGTTGTCAATCTAGCAGTTGGAATTCTTCCACATGTGGACAATTTTGCTCATATTGGAGGCTTTCTTACTGGATTTCTTCTTGGATTTGTGTTTTTGATACGTCCCCAGTTTGGATGGGTTAACCAACGATATGCTCCTCTAAATTATTCTCCAGGACGAGCTAAGCCTAAATTCAAGAAATATCAGTGTATCTTGTGGGTCCTCTCCTTGATCGTTCTAGTTGTTGGGTAAGCATTTTTGAAGTGTCACTTTTTTCTGAGATCAAGTTGCTTTTGCTAATGTATGATGTTATGGAAAGACTTGAGCGTAATTAACCCTGTTGACATATATAAAATGAGACCAGGAGTTCCCTCAAGTAGTTGGGGACAGTTTTGGTTTACCTCCATCCTACTATCCTTCCCTATTTATATCTAATAAACTCTTCTAACTAACTAATATCGTCACTTTTTACTAACTCCCCCATTCCCATAGTCCTAACACACTCTTTTAGTTTTTGATTACTTGATTGCAATATAAACTTAATTCCTAAGTTACTCAAGTAATTTTAAATGTGAGGAATTCTCATTTCTCAACTGAAGTTGTTGTAGAAATAATGACAGTTCTGAATACTATAATATTGATCATCAAGTAGACCAGGAAAAGAAATGCATAGGTAGTCAGGATTGTTGTAGTTATCTCCTTACGAGTGTTTTCATTTTGGTGCTTGTGATGATCATGCTACAGCAAGTCTAGGTATTATAATTGCTTATTACTACCGAGAAGATCTCCTAAAAGACTAGTTTAAGTTGGATGCAGACTTGCTGGGCATTGTGATATCTAGGATCTTTTGAAGCATTATATTTTTGTTTTTTCACCAATCAAAGCAACCCAAGGTTGATGCAGAAAAAGATCTATCCTTCATTACTGTAAATATGCTTGTGTATATTTTTTGAATCCATGGACATGGTTTACGTAGTATCTCGAAATTGACAGTCAAAGACTAATATGTACTTGTAGGATGTGGCTTCAGTCAGTTAAACATTTTTCTAATACCATAGGAATTAATCCTAGGAACACTACCCACTAGGTTGACCTTGTCAGATCAGGCCTTACAACATTGGACTAAGAGACTTGGTTATATGCTTGTATATATGAAATTCACTTTTGTGTTTGATTTCTATGTGACTTCTTCCCTGCTCCATCATCTTATTTGTATTCTTGTTTTATCCTTTTGTTTATCTTTCATTTTGACCACTTGTTCTGTTAATGTTAAATTGTCTAATGTGGCAGGCTTTCTGTTGGTCTGGTTGCACTTCTTCGTGGTGTTGATGCAAATGATCACTGCTCCTGGTGCCATTATCTGTCTTGTGTTCCAACTTCAAAATGGAGCTGCCATACAGAGGCAGCTTATTGTGAGGTAAGCATTTTACCTGAAAGCCTCTTCATATAAATAATTTTATCAGATCCTGTGAACTTACTGATTTTTCGCTGGTAATTTTATGAATGGATTCTTCAAGACTTTAACTCCTTTTTCATGTATTATTATACTGTCTTCTTGTGTTATAAAATCTTTCACAATTTGGTGATCTCCAAAAATAAAAACATATGGTTGTTACCATCATTTAGACAAATGTTCTCGGGTTAAATATGTTTTTTCATCACATCACACATTTGCTGATCTCATTACCAATGTATATGTTTTTGGATATATAATATTTTAATGAATACATACCCATTTTCTTTATTTGTGTAGAAAGTTGATATTCTTTAAACTTTGGTCACTTTTGACACTGGTAATTGATATGTTTATACCTTCTACTTTTAAAATTCACATAGCTGTTTTTAAGTTTTATACACCTTATACTTTTTTGTGTGCACTGTCGAATCTTATATGTGCATTTTTTTTATCCCTACAAATAAAGCAAGGTTTGTTTTTAGTCCCTAAAAAATAGATGGTCTTCTTATAGTCCCTCATTTATGAAAATGTGTCAAATATGGTCCTAGTTCTTCACAAAAAAATTGTTTCCTTTTGGTCCCCTGTTTATGAAAATAAGAAGCACATACGACACTTTTCTATTAACTAAAGACTAAAAGAAAATGATGTATTTTTGGATAAATAAAAGCGAGCGATGTAGTTCTATTTGCAGGGATTAAAAATATATTTAGTCTAATATTTTTATTACACGTGACTTTTTTTTTTTTTTATTGTCAAAGAAGCCTTATACTTGATATTAACCATTTTAAAATGATTTTTTGTTGTTATTTTTGGTTCTTGAGGCCTGATATTAATGTTGTTGAAATACCACAAATGCAGTCTAACCAGCTTGGCAACCAGCTGAACATAACATGCTCCAGCAATGGTAAATCCAGTACATACTACATGCAAGATCCAACCAGTTCCCAGATCCAGCAATTGTGCACTCAGCTTTGTAGTTGACTTGTGACAAAAGTGATGCTCGTTGGAATGAGATGTTCATTTGTTCATAGTGTTTCACTGCTCTTTCATTTATACCTTTTGCCTTATTCAGGAGACTCGATTAAAAAAGATTCATTTAGCCTTTCTAGATTTGTTCATGTTCTTGTGTATATAATATTGATTATTTGCATTTTTTTTTTTTGGTTACCTTTGTATGAGATCAAAGTTATAATTATAGATGATTAATGTCTTACCCTAACTTTTGTTTGCCAATAACTTATTTTGTGATTCCATTACAAAGGTGTGTTTGGAGATTTCAATCTCTCATTTTATTTATTTATTTTTAACTGTTAAAAAATATTATATTTTTTCAATAGTTTAAATTTGCACATAATTTTTTTTCCGTGAAAAATAAGCATTTTTATGAAGTTGATATGTGAAGTTTATGATTATTTATCAATAGTTTTTTTTTTAAAACTAATTTACTACATAAAATTGATTTATTTTGTTGTATCTGAATGAAATTAAATATCTTAAAATCATATTTTAGTAAATTTATTTAAACAAAATTTTATTTCGATTGTTTTTCTGAATATAACTATTATTTTTTATATCAATATTTTTTAAATTGGGCAGTCAATAGTTTAATTATAATCATATCGGTAGTAATAAGATAACAATAATAATTAAATGATGAATAAAATGATATTAAATAATATAACATAATAATTTTAAAATATTAAAAATTAAAATAAAACATAATTTTTATATATTCTTAACATATAAAATATATACAAATGTATAAATTGAATATATTATCATAGTTTACTATAAGTTTTAATAATACACATTCATATTTATTAATAATAACAATTTCATATTAAAAATAATAATGAACATCACAAATATTTCAGCTTATTTTTTAAGAAAAGATTAAAAAAATGTTTGTTTAAAAAAAAAATCATTAACCTGACTGTTTCTTGATCGGTTTTACACGTTTTTATTGATTTCTTGGTTTCTAACTTTTTTCTTTCTTTCTAGGTCTTGATGAATTCATCAATTTTTGGACCGGATTGGCCGGTTTATCGAATTTTCAAAACATATATATTTTACGACGTTAATCGCACATATATATTTTTTTAATTTCTAGATTAATCTAATTGTCTACTTACATTTTGATGAATTTACGTGACATTTATTTTTTGTTAATTTTAAGACAAATATAATATGTCTATGGAAAGAGAGGGTTTAAAATGAATGGAAAAAACTCTATATACAAATGTATTTAATATAAGTCTTATTAATATTTATTTATATATATTATAAAAATAAAATCCTAATTTTAATAGAAAAATAAGACGGATCATATTTTAAAAAAATAAAACTAAGTTATGTGGAAATGTAATTAAATGTTTAGTATAAAAATAAAGAGTTGGTGCATTGTGGTTGCTCATCATCTAGTATATCTATTGCCCGAGAACAAAGCTCTTCCAACCTCGACTCTGCACCACTCACTCCACCCAATCACCATGCGCCTCTGAACTTTGAACCATTCCTCTCCTCAAACAACCATGGCCGTTCGAGCGGTCACCACCTGCTCCCTCTTCCGTCCTTCCTCTCCGCCTCTCTTCTCCTCCGCCCTCCGCCTCCGCCTCTTCTCCCGCCGCTCCCTCTCTCTCCGCCATGCCGCCACCCTCTCCCACACGCGCTCCATCCACTCCCTCTTTGAGACCGTCTTGGAGGAGCTCCGCGCCGCGCGCAAACGCCGCCACGACCGCGTCTCCGCCGCCGCTCCCAAGTACCTTCCTCTCTCCCTAACAACGCTTATTCCCGTGCCTGCTAATATAGTTGTTTGAGTTGTTTGTTAGTATGATAGAAATTAAGCAGGTTTTTCGATTTGGATTTTGACATGCGGATATGGATTAGTAATATGTGTACTGTTGGAGTTTAACTAGCTAAATACTGGAGTACTCGCTTGACCAGTGCTCTCCAATTTGAGTTTTGAATACATAGTTGTGTTAAATATTTGGAGGGACAACTTTGTTGTGTATAATTATTTTATATGACTAGAAAAAGAATGTCTATTGGAAAGGATGATTGTGGTCTGAAAAAGGAGTAAAGTGTAAACCAGCTAAAAGGTCATAATAAGGACATGTTTTACTTATAGAAGAAGAAAATAAGAAGGAAAAACGAAATAAGCTTTTCTAAAAGCTAAAATTAGTTTATGTATAAGCTAATTAACTTATTGAAACATGATTTCTGTTTAGTTGATAGTGTAAAGATTTATAGGCAAGTAGTGTATTTCTATTAAAATCTTTAAATAATTTGGATGCATTATCTTTGTTTTATTTATTTATTAATAATAATTGGATGATTTTCTAGGACATAAGAGATTTTTGACTATTGGGAACGGAGGGTCGCGCGGAGAATGTTCTTTGATTTCAAAAACTTGTTATCATTATGTAAAAATAAAGGGGAAAAAATCAGAAGTTTAGATTAAAAGAAAGTGCGGATATCATAGTTGAACAGATCACTGTTTGCAAATGCTATGGGATTGGGAGCTGAGGCTGCGACTCAAAATTGAGCATTGGATTTGGGTAGAGAGGTGATGATGGTGAGCTGAGTGAAACCTTAACGCGAGGAGAGAGAAGGGTATGTTAGGTCAGAAACTAAGGCTGGGAAATTAAATATAAACTGGACTAGTGATGCGTACAAACTGTGTTCTGGTTATGTGCCTGCCTTTACAGGAAGACATGGTTCAAAATATGCATTATTATGCATGGACAACAGTTTTTTAGCCCCTTGTTAAAATCCCAATAATCACTAGATATTGACTGTGATTGTCGGTATCTGATTTTTGGAGAAAAGAGTTTCTTAAATATAAAACCAAGTTCTAACTTCTAAGAAAGAACTATTAAGATAAATTTTAATTTAAGTAAGTTATTTGTTTTGAGACTCTTAAGTGCTAAGTAGTTCTGTAAAATAAAATGACTTTTATACGATGATATACAGATCAACTAGGTTTAGTATCCTGCATAATTCCATCTTTACTCCAAGACATGGTCTTTTTATCTCTTCCTTCCCATTTAAATGATGCACTGCTTTCAATTAAACCCAAGATAACATCTTGATATCTTACGACACAACTGTATTAAAACAAAATCATCAGTTTAAAAATATAGGGATTTATTATTTTGCTATCAAGGGAATTTCAAGTATTTTGTTATGCATTTTTTTAATGATGAACACAGTTTGAACTTTTGAGTTTTAATCTTATTATGTCCGACTTACTATCCAATTTGAATATGGAGTTTCTAGTATCACAATATAAGTGTAACAAATTTTGTAATGTTTATGGAGGTAATTGCTTAAAGTAATAGGTTGAAATAAATTACATTGTAGAACCCTTATAATATGAAGGCACTAATGGTCGTGATTATAGAGTTTAGAAGCAAATACTGTTAGGAATCCTTTTGAAAATGTAAGGGAAAAAGACTGATGGTAATAGCAGAGAGGGAGAACAAAAGTAAAAGAATGGTTCCACTGATTTATTATGAAAGAATACTTCAGAAATGTACAAAGGAGCACACTCCTTTCACACAGGAAAATAGCCCCGTTATTGGGAAAAACCCAAGTCCCACATCGACTAGAGATTAGGCAATTGAATAGTATATAAGTGGAAAGCAACCCTCACCTTACAAGCCGGTTTTGTAGGGTTGAGTTAGGCTTAATCCACTATTCTAACATGGTATCAGAGCCATTTAGATCCACTTTAAAAATGGGTCACCCACCATTGATGCATGCCTCATAGGTATGAGGGGGTGTATTGGGAAAAACCCAAGTCCTGCCTATCCTAGATCATTAAAAAGGGCCACCCACCATTTATCCACGTACCAAGCCCAATAGTGCTGGACGTGAGGGGGTGTATTGGGAAAAACCCAAGTCCCACATCGACTAGAGATTAGGCAATTGAATAGTATATAAGTGGAAAGCAACCCTCACCTTACAAGCCGGTTTTGTAGGGTTGAGTTAGGCTTAATCCACTATTCTAACATGGTATCAGAGCCATTTAGATCCACTTTAAATGGGCCACCCACCATTGATGCATGTGCCATAGGCATGAGGGGGTGTATTGGGAAAAAACCCAAGTCCCGCCTATCCTAGATCATTAAAAAGGGTCACCCATCATTTATCCACGTACCAAGCCCAATAGTGCTGGACGTGAGGGGGTGTATTGGGAAAAACCCAAGTCCCACATCGACTAGAGATTAGGCAATTGAATAGTATATAAGTGGAAAGCAACCCTCACCTTACAAGCCGGTTTTGTAGGGTTGAGTTAGGCTTAATCCACTATTCTAACACCCGTCAATGATATCAAAATTTCACATAAAACCCCTATCATACTCTAAGAGTGTGTTTCGATAAGAAATTTAAATGGAGTAATTCTTTTTTTTTTTTTGGAAGAATTTCAAATACCTTCAAGTGAAATGCTTTGTTTGGATGAAGAATTTATAAAGAATTTGAAATTCAAAAATTTGTAAAATTTCTTAAAATAGTAGAATTTCAAATTCTTTCAAAGAAGTAAGAATTTGAAATCCTTCGTTCTCTTTTTTTCCTATCTCTATCTTTTCTCTTTCAAAGTCACCTAGAAAATATCAATAGTTTTTTTTTAATTATTGAATATTCAAAATTATTTTTTAAATTATTAAATATTATTTAAATATTAATTTTTAAAATTATGAAATATTTAAAAATTGACTAATATTTAGTTTTATAAAATTAAATCTTAAAATTTTAATATATATTTGTTTAAAATCAATTTTACCTATGGTAAAAATTAAATTTCCCTATCAAAATATACACAAAAAAAAAAATTGCCCTATCAAAATTAAGAATTTAAAACTTTAAAAATTTGAATTGATTTGTCCAAACAAGAAATTTAAAGAATAATGAAAATTGAAATCAAAGTAATTCAAATTTTAAGAATTTTAAATTCCTTGAATTTTTAAAATTCCTCATTCAAACACACCATAAGGGTTTTATTTATAGACTTTTATCTAACATTTTGCTAACCGAGATTCTAATTACAGTCAATGGGCTTTTTTCTGTGGTTCTGGTTGTGGTTGACTTTCTTGCCTATCAAATACTTTTCCTTTTCCGAGTACACTATATTTCTTCAAATCAAGAGCTTGTTAGTCTCAATTTTCGGTGGCATAAAATGGTATTTATGGATCAATAATAAATTTCTTTTTTGTATATTTTGAAATCATAATAAGTATGTTTTCCCACTTCAATTATGGTTTGTGGATTAAAGAATATACAACCAAAATCCTGCCTTTTGTTTTTTATTTTAAAGGTTCCAAAAATGGTTGTGTTTTTATTTTCTTTTAAAGGAGAAAGTGCAAAAGTAATAGCTGAAAAATTTTCTGAGGACTTTTGTCAAGAAAGTTTTATGGAGGAAAAAGTAGTTATGTCCAAATTGAAAAATGTTCTGTTTTCATGTTATTTTGCTACTTAGGTTTTTGTTCTGTTTCCAGGATAAATGTTAGTGAGAATGTGAGATCTTGTGCTTTCAAACTTTCTAGTAACCTGTAAAACTATTTTCTACAATCGCCTTTCCTACAGTCATGTTTGAAACAACTGCTATGAAAAGGTTTAGTTATGTGGTTCAGTCATGTGCTAGTAACCTGTAAAACTATTTTCTACAATCACCTTTCCTACAGTCATGTGCTTGTAAATTTTTGTGTAAAGCTTGTTCTGGTATTTCCTAGCTTTTCCATTGCTTCAGTAGTCCAGTTATTAATTTTTATTTTATTGATTTAGCAGCATGGGATCGTTGAATGAAGAGCTTGTTGAAGATAGACTTGTGAATCGTTCATTGCAAAAAGGGTTGCTTTTGGAATTCAAGAAGGATTCTGATAGAGTATTGCTAGCAGTAGCTCAGAGACCTGATGGCAAGAAGAACTGGATGGTTTCTGATCAGGTTCTAGTAGAAACAACATAATGCGGCATGTTTAATAGGTTGCTAGGTGTTGGAACTTCTTGCATTTTTATAAATGCTAAATATTGCTGGATTTTGTGTAGTCTAACTCTTCCTTGTTTTTGTTGGGCTGAAGAATGATGTCACTTCTTCCATCAAACCGCAACAAGTGACATATATTGTTCCTGGTGTTGACAATTTTGACCAAGCAGATATTGCAGATTTTGCTCAGAAGGCTCAGGATAACATGGTCAGTTCCAGTGTTCCACAATGGAGATGGTAACAAATAAACCAAATTTGAAACTTGTTCATATGTCAATAAATAAATTCTGGATGATATGATACAGGACCCATCACTACTTGAATTTGCTTGGATTGAGCTCCTCGAGAAGAATAAGTCTGTGACAGTTGAAGAGTTGGCTGAGGTAATATGCTTTCTTGACTAGATGTCAATGCATGCTTTCTTTGTCCTTAAATGAGTTGCTTGTTCTGCAGATAATTTTTGGCAGTGCTGAGCCCCTTGAGAGCTATTCTGCTCATCTCTTGCTATCAAAAGATGAAGTATACTTTACTGTACTGGAGACTAAAGGATGCCGCTCCATTTATGGTCCTCGACCAAGTGGGCAGGTAGATGTATTACTTTCACGTGTTGAGTAGCTATAAAAATTATGGATTTTCAATTACTCAAGTTATGTAGCTCCTCTTTGGAGTATTTTCCTAACATATAAACGTGCTACATGTTTAGGTGTTTTGCTTTTACTTGTTATATATTACTTGTAAGCTGGGATCACATAAACACGTAATAATAGTTTAAACCAGTACCTAGCCACACTAGATAATTACTATTATGCGTTGTTTTAAAATTTGGACTTACCCGGTCAGTTCGACCAATCCGACTGAGAACTGTTATGACTTATGATGACTGGTTTTTTACTCTAAAAAACTGGTTCGTCTTAGAACTAAGGTTGTGAAACTTGAGTTTGTAGAGCTTCCATAAACTTGACTTGTAAACTCATAAGAGTTTACTTAATATACAAATAATATTAAAAATCTTATTAGTAATATATATGTATGAAACATGATACTTCATATAATAAAGAAAATAACAAATCACAATAATATAGTAACAGTTTGACAATACCCATATATAAATTAAAAAAAATGTTTTTAAAATAAAAACATTTAAAAAAAAAACTAATATATTAATATTATACAACTAAAACAGCCAAATAAATTCTTTGTCCACAAATTGTAAAAAATAATTATCCCCCCTAATTACACAACCTACTATCAAATATATACTCACTGCCACCAAGCATTTTCTAATACAAAACTGCTTTCTAAATTCTAATAGATTTGCTACCAGATATTTATTTACTCCTAAATCTAATACATAACTGCCAGCAGTTACTTTCTATGCATGACTGTCATCATGCAGTTTCTAATACAGAACCGCTTTCTAATAGATTTGCTATTAAAAAACCAGTTATTTTCTATCACATATACTCTTAAAAATTAACTACCTCCAATCCATTAAGGGAACTAACTTGGATCATAGTTCTCATCACATAGCCATGAAAGTGTGATAACTTTTTAGAATGTTTATTCTTCTGGTTTGATTTACTAGTTGCTTTCAGATGAACTGAAATAAATGTCTACAAAATTATTTTTGAAAAGGAAGGTTGAGGAGCTCATTCGTAGGAAGCTTGCAAAGGAGGCCGCTGAGAAAGAACTAAAGGAGTTTATTGAATTACTGACCTCTGCAAAGTCAATGTCTTCACAAGATAAACCTCCAAAATCTTCATGGACAATTGATGAGAAAATTTGGAACAGAATCGAGTCACTTGAAGCATATGCTATTGATACATGTAAAAATGACGAACAAAGGAAAACAGCTGGGATGGTAATTTTTTCCCTCAATTGTTATGTAGGCATGTAACATTGTAGCAATTGGTATTTTATTTTCAGGTATATAAATAATATGAAGAGATAAGGAAATAGGGGAGCGGAGAATCTTTGCACGAGATTCTCAAACTTATTTTAATTAGATTCCTTGTATATATATTTGTTTAATTATGAATTGTATCAAATACAAGTCTAGTACTAATGTACCACTTCCTAACAATGAGAAAGGATGATCTTAGTGGATTCAGCTGTCTCTTTGCTTGGAAGTTTAGTATAAAATCATTGAATAATAATGCATCTCTAGAAAGTTGTTTATTGTTTATATCACCAGTCATCACTGTTGACTTTCTTGTTCTTTTAATAAATTTATCTTCTCTTTTACTGGCAGATACTTAAGGAAATGGGTCTGGCAAAAGTAGCATCTTCAGCTGTTAAACTTTTGATAGATATCGGATATTTTCCTGTACATATCAATCTTGATCTGTTGAAGTTGGGAATTCCCACTTATCATTCAGAAGAAATCATATCGGCTGCTCAAAGTCTTTTATTGGACTCATCTGATCCAGATGAGGTGGGTTTCATTTGCCTGACAACATTGCTCAAATATGATTGTAATCATACATATGTTATCTTTGCTGAATTCATTATACTAATATTTTTAGTTACATGGAAATAATATGACGAAATTATTTGACATTATTATTAATACTTCCCATTCTTCAAAACCAAATACTACAAAGTATAAAGGTGCTGTATACCGAGATTTTTAGATCATTGATGAGGGTTTATGCTGTCATATACTGTTAAGGCAGTATAAAGTTTTTTTTATAACTTTTGTTAACTATTACTCCCCCTGTCCTAAATGTAA